AGGAGCATAGCTCCTTCCAGCCAGCAACCAATATATAGGCAAAAATAAGATTCATCAACAACCTATGTGGAGCATCTACTCTTTCTTTCAATTCAAAAAGACATACAAATTATATATTTACATTAAAGTGGCTATACCAATCAAAAAGACATACAAATTATTTATTTCATCACATTTTTCTTAGATTATAATCCATTTTGGTTCAATTATATATGTTTTTATTGCCCAAATTAGAAAAATGTGCATTTTGTTTTTGGCTTGTATTCTTGGCTTTAATTTAATATTTTTAGCCTAATTTCATGTTATTTTGATTGAAATTTTGATTAGAAGCATTTTTGGAGCTTTGTGGATGTTTTTCGAAGGCTTTTGGATGAAAAAATGAAGAGCAAAATGAATGATTTTCGTTAGCTGTAAAAACAGTGCAACTGCCAAAGTCATCCCAAAGTCGTGACTTTTGTTCGCGACTTTCGCTGCTGTCAGAAAAACGCTGCGTTTCATTTATCAGAAATTGGTTGGCTAGGACATATATATGCTAAGAGCTCGACCTAGAACGCATTCTTCAGACTTTTAGACACTTCAAGAGATTGAAGCTTTGAAGACATTTGGAGCTCATTTTCTTCAGTTTTTCTATTCCTCTTCCCTTTCATCTCTTGTAATCTGAAATGGGTCCACGTATTTTGTATATTTATAGCTTGTGGATGATTATGAGTAGCTAAACCCTTTGTTCTAAGATTATTTGAAACCCTTGTATGGATTAACACTATATTTCTCCTCTCTTTTTGCGATTAATGATATATATGTGTTTATTTTACTCTTTCCTCAATGCTTCTACATGATTGGCCACCATTTAGATGTTGGGTTCACTTAATTGATGCTTGAGAGGGCTAGGTTGAGTATAGAACTTGGGTAATATTGTGTAAGAACTTAATATTTGCATGTTGAATGGCTGGTTTTGCTAGTAAGATAGAGATATACTTGCTAGCCTTGCATAGCCACATTAGAGTTGGTGTTTAAAATTGAGTTTTATTAATTGTAACAAGAGATTGGGCAATTAATTTAATTAAACACTTGTTCATGACTTGAGAGAGCTTGTCCAAGTATTTTTAGAACTTTAGGTTAGCACTTATTTTCATTAAAAGCATTTATGAGAGGAGGTAATTTTGGTGTTATGAAATGCAAGGGGAACAATTAATCCTAGGTCCTAAATTGTGTTTGAAGTTTGTGAATCACTCACTTTTCTTTATTTTCGAGAGTTAATTTCATTTGCAAAATCATTTTCACCTAACTTTGTGTAGCTCAACTTAATCAAATTTACTTAGTCTTTTGCTTGATCATTGTTTTTGAACAAATCCTCGAGGGAATGATACTTTACTTTCATTATATTACTTGCTATGATCCGTACACTTGCGGTGAGCAACAAGTTTTTGGCACCGTTGCCAGGGATTTGCTTTTGAAAATATTATGGTCAACCTTAGATGAGTGATAGTAGATTTCGCTTGAGCATTGTAAATATTGTTTCTTGTGTGTTTGTGTTTCCTCTTATTTCTTGTTTTCTTATATTCTTGTTTTTATTTGTTCTTTTTGTGTGTTTTTGTGTTTTCTAGAGTTTTGTCTTACGCTTTCCTTGCACCAAGAATTAGTTTGTGTTTTTGTTCTCTTGGTGTATGGATTCTCCTTGGTGGACTAATGGGGCAAGCGGAGGATATGAGTATGATACTCATATAAATTTTAGTTATGCCACTAATGCTTGTGAATCCCAATATGATTATACTTGTTGTAATTTTTATGGGGGTGATCACTATAATGAGCAATGCTCCCATGTCTCACCTTTGAATTATGTGGAGGAAGATTATGCTAGGGCCCAAACTAACTTTCATGATAATACTCTTGACCTAAATGGAATCATGAACAAGCATTGTCTTGGGATTTTACTCATTCTCTTTCCTCATATGCATTATATCCTCATACATCACACAATACTCATGTTGATGAAAGCACCCACATTCATGAGGAGAAGTCAACAATAGAGGATATGCTTCAATGTATTCTAGATAATCAAAATGAAATGAGAGCTTGGCAAGAAAAGAAAATTAATGAACATGCATTGGCTCTTCAAAATTTAACACTCTAAGCTAGTAAAATGGCTTCTACCTTTAAGTCTTTGAATCAAAAATGTGTTTTTAATGATATTTCAAATGATCCTTATATAAAAGATGAGGATTTAAGTGAACAAATGACTGTGAAGTGTGTGAAAGAGTTTCCAGTAGCTAGTGATGATTTTGAGTGTGATTTCAAGTTGGAAGCTAATGAGGAAAGGAACAAAAAGTGTTTGGTTGATGCTTCAATTGTGGAGCCTTATCCATTGGATTTTGAAGAAAAGAGAAAAGAGGAAATTCCAAGAGTTTATATACTTGATCCTCCTATAGAAGTTTTGACTCTTACTGATGAGAGTCAAGTAGATTTCATTGGGTGTTCAAAATATTTGGGGGCCTTGAATGATATTTGTGAAAAAATTGCATTAGAGCCTATCAATGATCTTCTTGAATCATGTACCTTGAAATCAAATTTGATTAAGGGAACATGTGTTGCTTGTTTTGATGAATGCCCATTCTTGTTGAAGCCTTGTCATATGAAGAGAAATGAGGACAAGGTGATCTTAGTCTTTGATACCTTTGATTAGGTATTTGTGAAGAAGAGTCAAGCTGTAGGACTATAAACCAAGCGCTACTTGGGAGGCAACCCAAGCTTTAAACCTCATCTTTTGATTTTTCCTTTGTAGTTTAGTTGTTTTGATGAAGTTATGTGTGATCTTGTATCTTTTATAGGTTAACATGGAGATATGAGGAAGTGTGAGCCTTTGGAGAAGCAAGAAATGTGGCAAAAGACTAAAAGATTTCAAGAGAAGGGAAAATTTCAGGGAAGTCAAGCTATTTAAGTTGTTTTTATGATCATGAACTTGTCTTGACAATTATTTTGAACTTATTGAAGTGAATGTAAATTTTTATGGTTTGATTCCCATGAAAAATGGTTCTTTTGGGGGGTTGATTTCATTTTAATTGAAAAAAAAATTGTTTTTGGTTGATGGGTGGTGGTTGGAGATTAATTTTGAAGTGAATTTGGTGATTGGAAGAGGTCTTAAGGAGTAAACAAATCAAATTATTGAAAACAGATTGCTGCAGAATTTTTGCTGTTAAAAGTTCTGATAGGCATCCAGAGAAGATGAAAGTCGTAACTTCGAATTTAAGCCTAATCTGAAAGTCATGACTTTGGAAAAATTTTCAAAAAAATTTAAAAATTAAAAAAAGAGAAAGAATTTTTTTCCTCTTGTTTTTTTTTCTCTTGCCCAAACTTTACCCTCAATGAATGCTAACCTTACTCAATCACTTCAATACAAACCTTTTTCCCCTAAATCTTTCAAGTTCTTTCCCTTGTCACTATCCATAATTCAAGCCACCTGAGCTTTGTCCACTTTCATTTTTCTTTAGCATGAATCATATTTGTCATTCATCCTCCTCTCTACCTCTAAGTTCCCAAGAGATCACATAGACTAGCTTGTCTTAATTCTAGTTCTATAGTTGTTTTGTTACCTGTGGATATTGTTGAAATACTCTTTTGTTACAGGTTGTGCTTTTTGTGTCTCTCATGCAACCTTTCTGTTGTTGTTTGGTTGTATAGTTGCATAAGAAAAGGCCCTTACTTTCCTCTTTTGACAGGGAGGACACTGTTCAATTTAAGTTTGGGGATGAGGGTATTATTTTGGTTGATTTGACATGAACTTCAATTTTGAAACTTAGCTATTTATTGTTCCTCTCTTCTAAAATTTAAGCTAGATTGAGAAATTATTTGTTGAACAGAATGTATGATCCAATGATAGAATGTTGCTTAAACTGTATGTTTTATAGGAAGTTATGAGTAATATTTTGGCATGCTTGAATTGCAGGGTTAATGCTTGCTGCCTAGTAATTTGTGAAATTTTCTTTTGCACTTTTGAATCAAACAATGATTTGAATGCCTCTATTAGGAAATTTTGTGGCAAGTTGATGTGCATTTTCTTTCTCAATTGAGAAACTCTAGAACCTATCTTGGAATCTCTTGAGGTATTTTAATCATTTCGCATGATATTAAAATATGATTTGGGCATTCTTTTAATTGCGTTTGAGCCTTTCAAGCCCACCTATTGCATCATTTCCACTTGAACCCCTTTTTGAGCTTGAAATTGAAAATCTTATGTAGTTTCTTTTTGAAACCTACATTAGACCCTAACCTCTACAACTTGAAAAACCATGAACTACCTTACTCTTAAGATAAGTGATAAAAAAAAATTATGTGCTAGTAAGGAAGATTGGTTTAGTTATTCAAGGAGGTGTTGTTGTTATAAATTTGGGTGTGAGGAATGGAAATGAAGTTTGAAATTCTACTAATTGTGCTCCTAAAAAAAGTATAAAAAAATAGAAATATACATGAAAAAAAATTGCAAGAAAAAAGAGTTTCAATATCAATAAATTTGGAGTACAAGGAATGGTATTTGAGATAAGTTTGGGGGAAAGTATTTGGCTAGTAAGGATGGAATGGTTGGCTTCTCATTGTCATTTATCTCAAGCTCTTTGAATTTCATTTATCCTTTCATTTCAATTAGCCCAAAATCTTCGACCACGCTACAAGCTTACAAAGTCCCATTGATTTTGAATTATGTGAAGTGATCTTTTAGTAAAGAGAGAAGAGTTTAGGCATATGAAGTCTTGATATTGAGCTTGTTCTATGTATATTGAGTTGTTACATTTTGACTTGATAGTTGCAGGAAAATCATTCTCTAGTCTCACACACACACATTTCTAAATTGTTGGAAAGCATGATCTTAATTTGTGAATCGAGCATTCCTTTATATTTCACTGCTATCCTCTTTGATATATATTTAGAGCAACTAGTGAGGATATTTTCATGCATGCTTAGTAAATGAATAATTGGTCAATTTAGTTATTTTATTACTTGTTTTACTCGAGGACAAGTAAAAATCTAGGAAATAACGATTCAAAAATGTAGTCTTGAACTCTTCCCAAGTTAAAGAAGGTACTCTAGTCGCATGCAAACCTGAGACTGTTTTTGCCCAAGTACTTGCCACTCCCTAAAGCTGAAACACTGCAAACTCAACATACTGAACATCAGGGCATCTCAAGGCCTTACATCTCTTCTCTATTCCTTCAAGAAACTCAATTGGGTCCTCCCGTGCATTAGTTCCCGAAAAAGATTGTGGATTTTACTTCATAAATTCTGATAACTTAACTGCGAGATTTTCCTCTGTTGTATCATGTGTTGAAGGAACAGTCTGCTCCTCAGATTGAGGACTTACTTGTTCACTTCTAGAAGGAATATCTTGTAGATTCCTAAGGGTTCGACCACCCCTAGCCCTAATTCTACTCTGACGCCGTCCTCTAGCTCTCAAGGGCATATCATCTGTCAGAGAAATTCTGCCAGAGGCTCTATTGCTAGTGGAGCTCCTGGTAGATACTCGATGTCTGGGTGGTATATTTCACTATATAAAGAAACAAAAGAAATATTTAATTTAAAATACAATTCCTTTGTATAACAAAAAGTCAATAACAAAAACAAACGTCGTTCGAAAACTTCTTATAGAACTCCCAATAATGTTTCAATTATAATTATGCCCGGATTCATAATGATAATTGAAACCTCACTGGCAAGTTCTTGCTCCACATAGTTATATATGTAAAAACCTTGGCTCTGATACCAAAACTGTCACGCCCCAAAATAGAGGGTGACCCGCATGAGTGTGAACCATTCTCACATTCCCATAAACCTCTAAATGAATATTTATTTCATTTTTTATTTATTATCATAAGAAAGTGTCGACATACTTGTAGAAATTTCGGCAAAACCTCCCCTGTAACTAGGATCTCTTAAAAATTCTATAACAAAAATTTTTACAACTAACAATATAAGTCAGGAGCATAGCTACAAATTATATATTTACATTAAAGTGGCAATACCAATCAAAAAGATTCACCCATTGTAGCTAGTTGCCCTTTTTGAGGTCGTTGGTGGAATCAGCGTCAGCTAACCAATCTGAGGCCAAATAAATTTTTTTCAATGAATAGCATTCCCGTGATAAAATTTTTAAAATTTAAATTGACAATCTCTAATAATGGTGTCAAGAAATTGAAAGTAATTTTACCAAAATTTATAAGCATGTAAGTCATAATCATTTTTGTAAAATAAGAATGAATTGAAAACAATTTATGTTATCGTGCTAAAAGAAGTCAATCTGTTCTCATATAACTCAAAACAATACCAATTATTCATTAAAATTAGGTAAATTTCAAAACACATATTAATTAACATTCAAATTTCTGAAAACTCATCAGAACAAGTTACAAATGTGAACACACAGTTCATGAAGGTAAATAACTAAACACGACTTATGCCACGAAAACAAACATGGACACATCAGTCAACGAGGGTAAGTAACCAAACACAGCCGAAGTTACGAAACAAACGTAGACACACAGCCCACGAAGGTAAGTAACCAAACGTGGCTCAGGCCACAAAATCAAACGCGGGTACGAAGCCCACGAACACCAAACATAAGAATAAAACTCACGAAATAAACTAACTAGTGTTTAACCACAGCACGCTACAGATTAACGGAACTGCCGTTAGTAGCAGTGTTCTGTATAGAGTTTTCTTAGAAATTCCATTTCAAACATGCGAGAAAAATAATTATTTGTGAAGTCAAATTTTCATTCTCAAGATCAAACCCACATGAATTACTTTAAATATATGAAACTTGTCAAATCAACACACCATAACAAATGTACAACTTGCGCTAAATGTAATCAAGAGATTTTTAAAATTCAATAGGCCAAGGTGCCTTTATCAATATTAAAAATATATTTCTTGAGAAAGAACACGAATCATAATACGACTATTCTTTATCATTATTTCAAAATTTCTAAAACTAACATAATTCATAAAAATGAAATATTTTAATAAAAGTTTTTCAATGAATGCTCATAAGGAATGCTATTCACTTACCTATTGAAGTTCTAAACTCCCGAAAGTATTCTTCTTTTAAGTCTTTTCAGGGTCTTGTTCTTCCACACACCCTATAAAATATAAATATATACAATTTTAATAAATTTTTAATTTACAACACAACCTTCACTAACCACCATTAAAATCTCAAAACCCAAATTTATAATTAAAGTTAATTCAAGCATTATCATTAATTTCTCTTAGTTTCTTCATAAAACTTTAACCATGCCATACTATTTCCTTGGAATAGGAGTTTTCTCCCAATCTTTGCATCATTTACCTTAGGTGCATTACTTCTACCTCTTCAATTTTAAGCCTTGAACCATTCACCAAAAATCAAACAAACTCTAAATATACGCATGATTGTGTGCAAGCCCATAATTAAATTCCTTTACAAATCTATAAGAGAATTCCTAAACCAATAATTCCCATCAATAATTAGAAGTCAAATTTTTTATTTCCTCATACAAGCCCTTTAATGATATCTCATAAGTACCAATAATATATCCAAGCTTGTCTCTTTCGATTTCAGTCCAGATTTTTTTTTTTTCCGATCATGGCAGCAATATAGAGCACACACAGATTCCTAGTTTCTATAATACCCTTAGCTACTCACACGCCCATATTTATGAGGAAAAAGGAAGAGATTGAAGCTTCTAACCTCCAATGAATCAACACGCACGGACAGAGGAAGGAGGACGATGGTGAACAGTGAAGAAAACTGCGGCCATGAATGAAGAAGAATAAGCTCAGCAATAAACAGAAAATGAACCCAAAAGGAAGAGATCTTTGCTCACCCAAATCTTTTATACCCACGCGAACTAGAAGCTAAGAGAAAGAAAAACTTTTCATTCTTGAATCAGCAGCAGAGGCGAACGGACGAACAGCAGGAACTTGAAAAAAATCACAGCTGAGGTGAGCGAATAACCAGAGCTTCGACGACGGCTACACGAACGACGTTGCTGGCTTCGATGGAGGAGGAAGAAGGTAGCTTCAGTTGAGAGGCAGAGCAAAACGTCGGTGCTCTCAAAGCTCTTTCTCTGGTCCAGATCCATCGAGAAAGAAGAAAGAAAGAGTTTTAAAAAAAATCTGATGAAAGCAATGGCAATATGGTAATTTTGCATGACCAGAAAAATAAAAAAAAAATTAACTCTTCTTGATTCGAATTGGGGACCTGTTATATGGAGCCTTCCTCAGCTGCCATTAGACCAAGTCTCTAACTTGCTATATTATTCCAAAAACTAATATTAACATACTTTAAGTAAGTTACCTTATATATTTATTTATTTATTTATTCAGTTTAAATTTTGCTGGGGTTATTACAAAACATGAGCCAGAAATTCCTCGTCGTGTTCAAATTTAACCATGTCCTCCTCTGTGAGACTGACATAAGCTTCAATGCCACAACTTGACTTGGTGTCTTTTAAAGTAACCACATTCTTAAATTTCTAGGTAGGTGGTCCTACCCACACTAGATTTCCCCAACCAAAATCAAATTCAGAGACCGAAAACCTACACAGCGAAGTAAATGCAAAAGCTGCAATCTCTACATTCCCAGTTGCTCTAACCATTCCTTCTTTCTTCTGATGTGGGTTCCATTGTTTACTTTCTCGAATCTTCACAAAAAACCAAAAAAAAAAAATCCTTGTCAATTTTGTTGACCTCTTCTCTTAACTTCCTTCCCAGGTCGTGACATTCTCCTCTCTCGTCTAATTTTGGAAGTGTTCGCATCGACCAATAATAGTTTCCAAAGGCATATTCTGGTAAAGTAGGTTCCATTCTTGGCCGTAGATTTGCTATCTATGCAACTAACTGAATCTTCTTCTTGCTTCCTAATTCTTCCTTTGTGGCTGCTAGAAACCTTGTCCAAATGAAAGTTGACAACGCTCAACTCGTGAAGGTGGTTTCTGATGACCTTTCAGAACGTTTGTCATCTTCTCACAGTATTTTTCTTTTAGAGATTCTATTGCGGATGCTTCAAACACGAATCTCTTGCACACAATTTTGTCCTTGATGACAAGAGAATCCGGGTTGTATCCCGACACGTCTTTCGGCGGGGAGAGTGTGCATGATTGGAAGTGGGTCCTGATTGGTTCTGCATTGCCACGCGTGACGGCGGCCCAGGTCTTGACGAACTGGAAGTACGACAGTGCATCAGCTATGTTGTGGGAGATGCAAACACCAATGGCAATTACGCCGCAATCAAAGAAATTGACTTGGACTCCGAGGACTGTGTCGACAGCTTCGTCCATTTCGAAGGGAAGCAGATTGCTTACATCAGCTGGAGAGGGGTTATCGGTGACTTGGCTGAGGTGGCAACTGACCCTGGTTTCTATGTTGGGAACACCCTCGTCGTTGCAATCTACGATCAAGTTCTTGTTGATGAGCCTTCCGGTGAGTGGGTAGTAGTGAGCTAAGAGCTGAGATAATGATTTCTTGATGTGGTCGGAAACCTTGTTTATATTGAATTTGTTTGCGACATCATCGGCATCGAAGAAATAGACCATAGAATTGTTGACTTGGGGACTTAACTGGTCAAGGAACGGGAGGTAATGGCGATGAAGATGTTGAGGTGTAGGAGACGAAGGGTTCACTACTTCTGTAGAGATTACCTCCACTTGTAGTTGCAGCGTCATGTTTTTTTTTTTTTTTTGTTTTGATTTAGTTTTCTTTCTCTCTATGCTTCCATTGCTTTATTGCCTCAAACAACTCATTCTTTTTCACCACTATTTATACATCTCTATTATTTGTCCTCTTCTTATTGGAAAAGTTTTCGCGTTATATTTAACTAACAATACGTATCAGATATGATTTTGTAGCTGGGTCCCATGTGACCAAAATGGGTGAAGTTTCGTGCAATGAGTATGATAGTTTTAATGTGAAAACAAAACTTTATATATATATATATATATATATAATATTGCATACACTACGAAGGGATCTTTTGACCAATTTTTTGGGAAAACATGAAAGATTGGATTTGTTGACTTGTACGTATCTGGAAAGCTTGTCTCTCCTAATATAAAAGACATGTACCTAAGTGATTTGCATTCAATAAGTAGCCTAAGCATTGCTACACCATATTGGATGTTGAAAATAAATATTTCAATTATAGCTATTGTATTTTATCAATACTTAAAAATAATTAAGGTATACTTTTTTAAAAAAATCCAAAACAATTTTGAAAGGAACGGAGTGCATGAATAATCAACAAGGAACAATTTTGTTGGGATTCAAAAGGACAAATACAATGAGGCAGTGCATGCGTTGGTTAGTGATTAAAAAGAATGGATAACGCACACGGGTGTTGACCAAACCCAAAAAGATACCAACTTAGCAAGCATACGTTATTGATTAATTAATTATTACAAAGCATACCACCGATTATTAATTATAAAAAGGTAATTTTAGGAAACCAAAAGCCTAATATTGAAAACAAAAATTATATTAAATTTGAATGGTTCAGATTTGTGAAATTAGAAAACCAATTATTAATTAATTATTTTTAATGGGACAAAAGTAATTTTGATATCGTTATATTGGAATTTTAAGTAGAGAAAATGACAAAAAAAATCCTTGACACATGCAAATGATAATGAAATCTTGCAAAGTGCCATAATTTTTTTCAAACCCCTAGAGACCTCTCTGACATTAATAATTTTTTATAAATTGACTAAAATATCCTCAATTTAAAATAAAAAAGTGACAGCTTTAGCCTAAAAAACATATCAATGACTATTTTAGTTTAAATAATAAATAGAATGAACAAGGAGTACAACTGTCCCTCTGCAATTTTTTGATTTATAGAAATTTAAATGTTGTAAATATCCATGACTACTTTAATTTAAACAATGGCTACTTTAGTAATGACTAAGATGAAACAAGCACTTACAATTTTTCATATGCAGTATTTTTATTCACTTGTAATTGTTTCATTTTACTCATCGCTAAAACAAAAGTAATTGTTACTTAAACTAAATAGTAACACAAATATTTACAGTAGTTGGACTTTAGTGAATAAAAAATTTGCACAAAGAAGTTGTAATTGCTTGTTCCATTTATAAAAGTAGTCATTGCTTAAACTAAAGTGGTAATTATATTATTATTTTTTCGAACCAAAGCTATTAATTACTTTTTTTAATTTTAAATTGAGGATATTTTAGTCATTTCACCAAAAATAATTAATATCAAAAAGCCCCTAAAAATTTGAGAAGAATTATAGCATTTCACATCGTTTGCATATTTTAGGAGAATTTTTTGTCATTTTCCTTTTTAAGTACAAAGAAATCAATGACCTTTAATGTCACACCCCTAAAACAGAGGGTGACCGGCATGGGATGTGAATTGTATCGAACATCTCTTAAGCCTCAAATTAAGTAAATTTTTTTAAAAAAATATAATTAAATTTGTATTGAAATTATGACATCTTTAATAATGATTGTTTTAATAAAAGTTTTAATATTTTTATAAAAATTTCTGTAGAACCATCTAAATAAGATCTCCTGAAATCTCTATAACAGAAATTATTATAATATGCATTCAACAGATTAGAACTATGTTTCCTAGATATAAACAATCAACATAATAGAACAAAAATCAGGATTCTAGCTATAGTTAACGTGGAGCTCCTAAAGCATAAATTTTTTTTAAATAAAACATCTAATTGAATATTTGCATTAAAAGAGAAGGGATTTACAAAAATAAATATTTATCTAGCACAGTTGCAAACCCTTAAAGGTTGGCAAGAGATCCAGCGTCAATTAATAAATCTGAGACTAAAATAATTTTCAGTGAATAGCATCCCCAAAAATAGAATTTAACATAGTAAAATAATAAACTTACTATTATATGAAATAATTGAAAGGAAATTAATTCAAATTAATAACTCACAATATCTAAAATATCAATTATAATAATAAAACATGAATGAGTTAAAATTTCTCGAATCTAATATGCTAAAGGAGGATAATTTACTTATAATTGAGTAAAAGTAGCAAACTTACTAACTACAAACATTGAAAATTTAATTATACTAGCTGAAAACAATCAATATAATATAATCATGAATTTGAAGATTAAGAAGTTCCATAGAATTTCAAAGTACTAAACCACCAAATTGATAATAACAAAACAGTTCAACTCTTTGTGCTTGTAAAGCAAATTAAATAAATAAATAAATAATAAATAAATAAGAGTACCCTTTATTAAATAAAACCAATAAAGCGTTTATTAATAAATCAATTAAAAGCTAATATTTTTAAGGACTTTTGCAGAACAAGTATCAAACGTGGACACACAATCCACGAGGGTAAAATAACCAAACGCAGCTTATGCCATGAAAACAAACGTGGACACACCAGTCCACGAGGGTAAGTAACCAAAAGCGGCTCAAAGCCACGAAACAAATGCGAGTGCGAGGCTCGCGAATAACAAACGTGAGAACAGAGCTCACAAAAACCAAAATAGCTTGTCATTAACCAAAGTGCACCAAGGGCTAACGAAATTGTCGTTAGTGACAGTGTTCTGCTTAAAGTCCTCGTGAAATTATTTTTCAAACATGTGAGAATAATTATTTTTGAAATATAATTTTTGCATTCTCAATATCAAACTCGCATGAATCATTTCAAATCTCAGAGTTTGCCAAAACATTGTTTCATAGCAAATGTATAAGCTCGTACTAGTTGAGTAACCAAGAATTTCTAGAGTAAAATAAACAAAGATGTCTCCATCGATTTTGAAAATATATTTCGTAAAGAAAATACATGCATATACCATAATTTAATTAACTTTCACCACCATTCTAAAATTTTCAGAACCAAAATGATTTAATTAACAAAGTATATATTAATTATCGTAGTTGTTAAAATAATTTATATGAAAATGTAATATTTTCAAAAATAGACTACTTTAATTGAAAAAAATAATGGGTTGCTATTCACTTACCTGCTAAATTCCAAACACAATAATTTCCTTCCTCAATTCTTATCAAGGGACTTATCCTCTACATACCCTATATGAATAAATGAAACCTCAATTTGCTTCCTATAGTTATATAAACTTTATTCCATTACCAACACAATCTCAACCAGCTGAAGTATTCAAAATTCCAAAAATCAAAATTCATGTTTTAATGGTTTATCAAATATCATTACTTACCACCAATTTACCTCATATTATTCTAGTCATAACTACTATTTATAAAAAATATGATTTTCTCATATCTTGTATCAAAAACCTTGTGTGCAAAATTTTCAACCACCCACAATTAATTTATCATGCTTATTTTATCTATTTCTCAAACATCTTAAATGTATTCTCAAAATCAAATGATAAACACCATTGTGTATATGAATTACACAACATAAATCTTCTAAAAATTCAACTAACCACACTATAGCTCAAGAATCAAACTCTTTGCAATGCTCAAGTTAAAACTCACGTAAATAAAATTTGAATCAATCATGCCTCTCATCCCACTAAATAGAGTTTCAGAAAAGTCTAAATCTAGCAAAACTCTTCAAACAAGCATCTTACCGAACACCTTATAAGCACCAATCTCAATCTCAATCTCATGCCTAAGCCTTTCCTTTCCAACTTCATACCACCAAATCCTCAAAATCAATCAATCCAAACAAAATTATTTTAACATAAAATCCAGACCCACATATACCATCATGAACCTATAAGATATTTTTCAAACTCAACTTTGAATTTTCAAAATTTTTTTTCCTACACACTACGGATGAAGGCAAAACCAAAAGAAAAATTTGAAATTTCATCTCCATCACTTCACCCACTCACACGCACAGAATTGATCCAAGGAAAAGAGAATAAATCAAAGCTCCTCACCTCATATAAACCCAAACGCATGAGCAGGGAGAGGAAGAAAAAATCACACCTATACCGAGAAGGGAAAGGAGATCGTCGTCGACTACAGAGAAGAGATGAGTAGATCGATGATTGATAAAAAAAGAAAAAGAAAGAAAACCATCTTACACTCATCTATACAGTCACCAATAGTGTAGAAAAACGAGCTTCGGTGAGCTGGAACAGAGGAAAAGAAAGGAACAAAAGCCACGAGTTGCTAGATCAGTACCGAACAGAACAGTGACAAACATAAACACGCCGATAAAGTTGTAATCAGAATAATGAAGGAAAAGGTGAAGCAGAAGAATCGAGCATCAGAGCTTCTCTCTCTCTCTCTCTCAGTCGCGAGTCTGGAAAAATTAAAGAGAAGGAGGATAATATATCATATTTGAGAGAGGGGCAAATTGGTAATTTCACAAAGCAAAAAGGCAAAAATAATTCTCCTTCTGGCTTCCATTAGATTCAAACTTGGGACCTATCAGAGGAATACTTGCACAACCACCACTACACCAGCTTCCCTTCTTGACATATTTGTTCTAATAATTACTATATTTACAATCAATACACATTATTACATATTTTAATTTTTTTTCCTTAAAATGTTTAGGTTATTACATTTAAAATTTTGTAGAATGCCTTACATATTAATTGAAATATAGGACTTAAAACCATATTTGAAATATAGGCAATAGTTTATTACGAACCATCTTCCAATCAAATTGCATGGAGACAAATGAGGGGTCAAACAAATTAGAAGTTGAATAATCAT